GCATCGAGAACTTTATATTTTATTTGAAGATTATTGATTGAACTTTTGTTTTGTTTTGTTTTACATACTATAAAACCATACATTACACACCATATATTAAAATTCAGTAAACCTTATCAAAAGACAGGTAATTTTTCTCCCCTCCTTCCAGTTCTCAGTGCAAAAGGTTACAATGTGATAAGAGTGTATTAAACTTTTTTTTTAATATAGTCATCATTCATTATAATACCCTTTTCAGGTACTTCTGTGTTATGGGAACTTTGGCAAAAAACAGGAAATGGCACGTTTTAGCCTTAATGAGAAACGGACAGTTACCAAAATAAGAAGCCATCCATTCAATGTCTGCAAAACTGATTTAATATATACATGCAGAAGTTAATATAAATTTGTATTTATTATTTTATGTCATGATTTTGTAAGCAACTTATTTAAAATAAACAAGCAGTAGAAGCATAATACCTGGAATTCTTTTCAATTTATTTTCATTTATTCATTTCATTCTAGAATTATTCATTTGTTTTTTCCAGTCATTATAGTTCAGCAAATGCTACTAATAATGCATCAAATATGGCCAATAGGATGCCCATAACATAAATTCAGCCAGTGGGACTCAAAAGCGATGGACAACCATATTAGTGTGTTTTGTTTTGCTGATCTTTAAATGATAGAAGATTGAAAATAGTATGCCTATTAAGAATTCAACAACGAAAAACTATGAAAATTATCATTAGCAAAAGAAACAAACTATGTGTGCATGGCAATCATAAACATTGAATGACTTACTTGTAATTATTGATAACCATCTGTTTCTCACAAAAGCCAAAACTTGTCAATTCCTGTTTCTCAGCAAGGCCACCTTTTCTCACTGACTATACACAAATAATACTTTAAAATTGTTTTATGTAATGACATTTTTCCTAATAACTTATTTCAAAACAGGAAATCACTTTGAAACTACACCAAAAAAGCAAAGATTAGTATTCAGTCAATAAAACAGTCTTAATTCCATCACAGAATTAAATCTAAAAAAAAAAAAAAAAAATCTAATTGAAAGATGAAAGACTGTTTCACCTTAATAAATTGATATCTGGTACAAACACTATTTTTGACCAAATAAGTAAAGCTATATACAATGAAACCTCGTTTCATGAATTTAATTTGTTCCAAAAGGCATGTCAACCAAAATGTTAATAACCAAAGTAAATTTCCCCATATGAATTGATGAAATATGGATTCATTCATTTCTGGATCACATATGACTGCTTATTTGAAATTCACAATAGCACTTTTGAGCACAAGTAAATTCCAAACCAATGGAAATCATTAAATATAAAACAAAAAAGATAAATACAATATTTAACAGATTAAATATCAGAAAACTATTTTATTTTACTATACCTATACTGTGGGCAAAGCATAAGGGGAAGATGAAGATGTTACTGTTTGGATCCAAAATTCTCTTCCATAAAAACTTCACGGGAATATATTCAGGTGGCATCATTTTTCTTTTTCTTTTTTTTTTTTTTTTTATGTGCCACTCCACTCTGCTTAAGACTCACTGGGCCTCCATTACACTCAAATTTGCCAAATGTGATTTGTTGTTAGCTGTGTTTTAAAATGTTTCTATGCGAGGTTGGCACATTAACCAGTTCATGATGGCCTGTCATATGTGCATCAGCAGCAGACATTATCTCATGGCTGGGTGTGTCACATTCCAATTGCCATTTAATTCACTGTATGGCCGGGCGTGACTTTTTAGATAGAACATTTAATTAGTATTTTTTTGTTGCCGCTAGATGTAGTTGTATGGTGAAATATATGGAAAGTTAAGTATGTTTACCGTCATTTCTATGCAATAATTTTTATTTTTGGTATTTTGTTTCGGAATGAGAGTGAGATTCGTAGGTGTTGAGCAATGTAATGTCTCTTTCACTGCCTCATTTGATATAAACAAATGCACGTGTTCTTCATTAAAACAAACTTTTTTTTAATGGCAAATGCAAGCAGTAGCTGATTGTATAAGAATATACACAAATGTGAATTCATGGGTATTGAGTAATGTAATGGCTCTTTAACTGCATCATTTTATATAAACAAATGAACACCTTCTCCATGTTCTGGAATACTTTTTATTTACTTATTTTATTTTTTATTTTTGTATTACTTTTTTTTATTCCGATATAGTGGGGTAGATGTTCTATCATTAGAGACATTTATTTTTATTACTCTTAGATTTTTCCGGCATATTAGATGAATATTTTGTATCGCTTAGGAAAACTTTTTTTCTCTTTTTAAATGGCTAAACGAAAGCACTATCTGACCGTAGAAGCATATACACAAATGCTAAATGAGTCTTTTTCTGATTCCGATGAGAGTGATGATATTTATGTGGAAAGTGAGAGCGATTCTAAAACAGATATAGTGTCAGATACAGAAATCACAGCATATGTGCCTTCTGCATCTCACGGCAGTTCCTCAGTGGACCCATTTTGGACTAGGACACTTCAAGATTTGAAACCTTTTAATTTTATACGAGATCCAAATGTTAATACTGTAAATGCTGTCAAAGAAATTGATTTTTTAACAATTTTTTCTTATGAAGATCTGATTAACTCAATTGTAAAAGAAACAAACAGTTTCGCACAAAATCATCTTAGAGATAAGCCATCTTCTTCAAAATTGGTATATTTTTAGATGTGATTCCACAGCAAATGAGTGTTTTTTGGTCTGGTTATTTTGATGGGAATAATTAAAAAGCCTAATGTAAAAATGTATTTTAGCACCAACGAGATGCTCGCTACTCCTTTTTTCAATACAATCATTTCGCGAGATGTTTCTTAATATCTTGAAATTCTTACATTTTACTTCTGATACTAATGCAAAAAAATTAGAAAAATAGGGATTCCTCATCGAAATTCTGCAAAATAAATTTAAAACTACCTATACACCAGATGAAAATATATGTATAGATGAATCACTTTTAGCACGGAGAGGACTACTTGGATTTAGACAATACGTGCCCTCCAAAAAATCTCGCTATGGAATAAAAATTTACAAGTTATGTGAGGAGTTCTGGATATGCGTGGAACTTCTTAATTTACTGTGGAAAAGAGACTATGAGCAGTGACACTGGTTCTTACAGAGAACGAGTGGTAAAAACACTCATGAGTGAGTTATCTGAGAAAGGATATAATTGTTATGTAGATAGATTTTTTAATTCCCCATCACTTGCAGAATACTTAGAATCTATAAAGACAAATCTGTGTGGAACTTTTATAAAAAACAGGAAAAATATGCCTAAGAATTTTCCAACAAAAGACTTGAAAGAGGGAGAGGTAGATGCCATGCAGTACAAAAATCTGAATGTGATTGTGTTCAACGAGGAAAAAAAAAGACATATTTGTATTGACAGCAATACATGCACCAGATTTGGCTAAATGTGGGAAGAAGGATAGAAAAACTTATGAGGATATTTTGAAACCTTCTTGTATTTTAGATTATAATAAACACATGAGAGGCATTGACCTAGGAAACTCAATCTTGACTCATTATCCACTATGCCGAAAATCTCTAAAGTGGTATAAAAAACTGTTTTTTGGTGTGATGGACATTGCGCTCATGAACGGTAATTCTATACAACAAAAAATATGGACTAAAAACACCATTTCTGGAATTTAAAATAAACTGGAATTTAAAAGTCGTGGAACAAATTTTTGAGAATGATGAAGATTATAGGGCCGAAAGAAGGTTCATTGCGAGATCACCTTCACCTTTAAGACTTTCAGGGAGACACTTCCCTACTTTAAATCTAAATAAAAGTGGGGAAATGTGCCACAGACAATGTATAGTTTGCTCACAAACAGTTAAAAAAAAAAACAAGAAAACAGCAGCAAATATTCTATTACTGTGACATATGCAACGTTGGACTTTGCATACACCCATGTTTCAAAGAATATCATATGTCTGTTTTTTTAAATAGTGCTTCCTTTTCGTTGTTTGCACATTGAATTCTTATGAAAGACAGTTTTAATATTTTTTAATTTTAATTATGTGTTGTGTTAAAAAAAATCTGCGATTGTTTGGATATTTTTCTATATATATTTATTAGTGGGATGAGGGGAAAATTATATTATTCTAGAATGAGTATTTTATAAAATTTTTAAGGAAAATATAATAATAAAGGTTTAAAATTAATTCTGACGACTACCTGAATGTTCTTCTCATAATGTACCCAAAATTGTAAAAATTGGATAATAGATTTCATTCATATGAATTTTTTCCAAAGTTAGGCTTAGCAGCGCAAATTGCTCTTCCCCACAGGACGACGCATCCGGTTAATGCTCTGCCCCAAGAGAACACTTCGATAACAGAGATGCCCATTGTGAATGGGTTAACTGAATGCTGCAGCTTACTACTGCTTTATCAGGATGAAATCCTTATATGAAAAATTTACATTTTGCCCTACAAATTCAGCAGATTATAGATGCAGGATAATTTTTTTTTTTCTTTAGCTTCTTCTGAATACATTTCATCCAAAATCAGCCTTTCTTGTTGCTTCTGAAGCTACAGCAGTTCTTTTGTGTTGAGCTTCATTTTTATGATCCTCTAGTAACTTCTTCACATCTTCATTGTTAACTTCCTAGAACATGGTTTTACATGGAGACACAATACGCTGATAACAAAAAAAAGTTCTAATTTTCAGAGAGCTTAGTCTTCATGTACTGCCAGGCTTTGCTAATAAGTGTTAATCAATAGAAAATATTGCCTGAGAGTTACATAAGTTACCTCAAACTATCTCTGAAAATCAGATGTTGCCAACTTTAGTGTTAGTAACTCAAGACACCCTTCATCATCCAAGATGTTTTTAGTTCAGATAGTTCATTCATGACCCAAAATTATTGTGAGCTGAGCTAAGTTAATGATAAACCAATTTAATGGATTTCATCACCTCACAGTTCAGAATAAATATTTTAATCTATTATACACAAATTATCACTTACCTATGATTTCCCCCAAGAAGCTGTAAAACCATTTCACTGGCTGCTCTCCCAGTCATTTCCACCCTAACATTTGATGTTAGGCCAACTTCCTCGGCTTTTTTATATAACCGCTTTTTGAACTGTACAGTAACACTTGGCACTACTAAACCAGAATCTGAAACAAAAATTAGGTTTAGTGCAAAACATGAAGATTTGATTATCTGCCCTTACTGAAAAGTCACAAACTCGTTTGTTACTTTGGAGAGAAATACTTGTTAGATGTGTTTATGTCTATTTCAACAATGCATCTAATGGCGAGCTATGCTTTTACATTCATTAATTTTTTTTTTTTTTCTCAGTAGATTATCACACAGTACTGAAAATATTTATATTATTAAGAAAGTCCTAAATTACCAAGAAATAGCACCAAGTAAATGCAGTTTTAAAATGAAATATTTTGCACATTTTATAGCTGCAGGTGAGTTCTCAAGTTCTAGACACAGTCCTAGAGATAATCTCTTAAAAAGTCTAAAACATGACAGCAAGTAAAGCAGCATCCTCTTTTCACATTTCAGGAGGGAAAAGTATTGCTGAAACCACAAAAATGATATGATGCTGTGATCTGTGAAACATGCAAAATGCCACATTGAAAACTCTGAAGTGAAAGACACATGAAATTTTTTTTATGACACAGTAATTAAAGGCTATTTTCTTCAGTACTTTCTATGGAAAAATCCAACTCATGTTCATGCTACACATTGGAAGAATGTTAAAAGCCCTATGCAGATAGTCATTTAATTTGGATTTGGGGAGAACAAACATAAAACAAGAGTGGTTATAAACTCATACAGCTCAGGTTGCTAATAAAGGGCCTTAGGAATAGAACTTGGGTACTCTGTATTTTTCAATGACCATTTTCCATAAACACAAAGTACACCAAGACAGCAATTTAGCACCAAAAATGGAAAAGCCTGATATTACAATGCATCATAAGGTCTTTGCTTTGGTTTTATGTAATCCTGATCCTAAATAAGTCGATTTACTTTTTGCAAATGATATAAGAAACTGCTACTTTGTTTTGCTCTTGCATTAAAAAGAATAAATTCGAGATGTGTTTTCCATGTAACAACAAGCAGTGGAGTATTTTCAAAGTATGAGATTATGGTTTCACTAATTACACCTATACCTCGATTTACACAGTACTCGTATTACATGATTACGGTTTCACATGGTTTAAAAATTTCAAAAACTTCATAAAAATGTATATTTGGCTGCATAAATGCAAATACATATATTTGAAGTCATTTTTGAACTTCACTCCTTTGGTGGTAACAACAAGGATGGGGATTCCCAGTCTTGTAAAGTATCTCACAACACTATGTATTTGTATTTCACAACAGTAAATCTATTTGATTCTTGTGAACTAGTGCAGTATCAGTATTTTAGCAGTAAAGTTTACATCATTTTTATCTACATATTTAAATGTTTACTGGTAAGTTTTCAACATTTATATTTCTTGTGTCATGTTTATAATTTATGTAAATTTTTTAAGGTTTTTATAATGCCAAACAATTTGAAAAAAATCAAATTAAAAAAGTTATTTCTTTAGAAACAAAAATTAAAATATTAGACCATCTACCTAATAGAGAAAGAATAACAGATTTTGCTAAATTTTACTTCATGAATGAAACCACAATAAGGACAATTAGAAAAAACGAAGACTATTAGAAAAAGTGTAATAGCTGGAACTTGCAGCAATAAGAGCACAATTTCATATGTAAGAGATAATACAATGGGAAATATGGAAAAGGCAATAGTGATATGGATGGAAGACCGAAATCAAAAATGAATTCCAATTGATACTAATGCTATTACGGATATAGCTTTAAAGATTTATAAAGCACTTAAGAATCAGCCGTCGTTGACTTCATCAGATTAAAAAAAGGTATGGTTGCTTTGAGAGATTTTAAACAAAGACATTTTTTACATAATCTAAGATTGAAAGGAGAAAGTGCATCTGTTGATTCGCATGCAACACAAGAATATCCAGCAAAATTTGCTGAAATCGTTGCTGCCAACTCCTATACACTTCTGATCACATCTTTAATGCTGATGAATTCAGGTTGTTCTGGAAAAAAATGCCTGAAAGTAGCTATTTAAGCTAAAGCTTGCAGATCAGATAGAGGTCATAAGGCAGCGAAAAGTCATATAACAATTCTTTTCTTTTGAATCGCTTCAGGCGATTATGTAATGAAGCCATTGGTTATTAACAAATCAAAAACACCATGCTCATTTAAAGGAATAAACATAAATAACATTCATGTTTATTTGATGGTCAATAAGAAAGCATGAGTCAATAAGAAAGCTATAGCTTTCAATGAATGGTTTCATAACATGTTTGTCCCAGATGTCAAAAACTATTTAAGTAAAAAGGTATTGTCTTTTAAGGCTTTTCTATTAATTGATAATGCACCTGGTCATCCTACAGATTTACAACATAAAAAATGCAGAAGTTGTCTTTTTAACAAAGAATACAACTTCCTTATTACAGTCGTTAGATCAAATAATTTTGACTTTTAAGCACTGTATATGAAACAAAACTTCAGGTATATTTAAGAACAAATGGAGAATGATGAATCTCTTATTCTTATGGATGCTTGGAAGAAATTTACAATCTTAGATTGTGTTAAGCATGTTGGACTATTATATACTCAGATTAAACAATCAACGCTCAATGCATGCTGGAAAGCAATATGGCCGGATGCTACTAAAGATGGGAATGATATATTACCATTAGAATACTCTCAGATCACTAAATTGGCCCAAACTTTAGGAAAAGGTTTTGAGGATTTAGCTCATGCAGATATTGATAAATATGCAGCAAGTGCAATTTCCCCAAATGCATTGTATCAGTTTACTGCAGACAGCTTGTCTTAAAAGGTTTCTTATCTTTTGGTTGATCGTGTGTGTGTGTGTGTGATTATGGCAAAGCTTCGAGGGCTATCTGCCTAAGAGGAGGGATGCCTTCGTGGAGGACTTTCTAAGGGAAACTGGCTCGTATACACGTTACACATGGAGAAAACCACGAAAACGCCCATGTAGCCAGCCCGTTCGCGGGATTCGAACCTCGGACCGAACTACCAGTGTTCAGCGACTTTACCGCTCGGCCGCTGGTGGGCTTTGGTTAATCGTGACATTTCGTTGTTGATTCTTTTGTGGTACAGTGTGCTTTTAAGCTTTAAACAGCAATAAAAGTGCAGTTTAAAAATTTAAGGATTACATTTATTTTTAATCAATTTATTCTTTCCTATAAAAATAATGGAAATAAACAAAATCTCAGTCGTGATCATAACAAAGCGAGAAACGCTTGTTGGTCTGACCTTCAAAATAGTTTTATAAAGAACAGGGTCAAAGCTAATGGAATCTTTGTTAGAAAGTACAAAGGATGTTATTTGAAATCTTCACATCTATTTTCTGCGTTAATGGATGGAGAGGGGAGGAAATTGCTGTGAAACTGGAAAAGTATTTTGGGCGGTTCGGTATTTGAGGATACAGCTTAGCCAAGAGTCTGGGTTTCAAAGAGTTAAATCAATATGAGGAGGTTTACAAATATTTAGGGAAAAAAAAAAAAAAAAAAACCTATGCAATTGTTAACTACGGATTTCACTACAAAGTCTATGCTACAAAATCAAACTGCACAGTCGTGCAACACCACTTACACTCCTGTTCAAGCAAATTTATGTGGCGTCAAGTGTCACAAAGATGACCATTTTGTTACTATTTTAAATATTTTAGATTTGAGGTTACCAGAAGGATCGATGCAAATTTTAATGAATTTTTTTGGGATACTTTCTTATTACATGTACCTCCCCTGAAAAGTCATGAAAAAGTTTTTATGAGGCAAAACAGTATGTTGCAAAATTAATTATGTAACAACACACATATAGCACATGCCTGTTTTAGCCACTGTGCAAGGCCAAGTTATATGGTGCCAAGTTTGTGCAATTCTCCGATTTTTTTTTTCAAGTGAAAATCGATTAGAAGTCATGAAGAGAAAAAAGTGCTAAGGATTTCTTCAAAAAGGCAAGCATTTCATTATCAAAATTTCTTGATTTTTTAAATTTTGTTGATTGATTACTTTTGATTGGATTCTGAATGTGCCATTTTGAAAATGGCTCTTGCCTTCCCCTCATTAGCATAATAACTTTTCAATGAAGGTGCAAATAATCAAAGAATACCTTTACCTGTTAGATATCTCAAAGCTTTAATTCCTATTTAAGTTTATTCATATGCTACACCCATAATTTGTACCTGTTAATTAACTAATTAAATAAAAAGTAATATGTTTCTCCAGATTTATAGACTGTATTAGAAGGTTGGACAGATTTCCACAAACTTTCATGATCAATGAGAAAATAAGTTTTCTTATGAGCAAAATCAAAAAGGTTACGCTGTGCAAGACACATGTCAGGAAGTTTAAAATAATTAAAAGTAAAGGCAAAAACATAATACACATATTAATATATTCTGAGAAGTAGCAAAAATAAAATAAAATTAAACATAAATGTAAAATTATCACTGTTATAAAATTGTAACTACAAAAACTTCCTTTCAAAACCTAAGCATTAATAATCATGAAATACAAATAAAACATGTAAAATCAAGGGTTAAAATTTACTTAAGATTTATATGAAAACCACGTTGTTATATCTACCAAGTCAAACCTGACTAACATCTGGTTGCATTTTACAAAGTCGTAAAATTAAAACCAATACCTTCTCCAAAAATGGTACAGTTGTTCATTGGGCTCAGCATCAAGCAAATTTCTGATAGATATCTCGACAGTTTTAAAAAATAAATTCCAAAAGCACTTAAAACAGGGCATCAAAATGTGTTTAATAGTTAAAATGTAACTCCTCTGCTTGTGATGAGGATAAGTAATTAAAAACAGTTGCTGCTAAATAAAGACTAGTAAAATTCAGTACGGTCATTAACCCCTTCGAGCCGGGTAGCGCAAACGCGCGCTTATTGCGGAGGCCGGCAGTGTCTTACACGAGCGTCTGTCCAGGGCCGAGGGCTTTTTTGCTACTAAACCTAAATCCATGACATTTCCGAAGTATCAACGCATTGTTTAATAATGCTCTATAGAGTATTTAAATGGCTTATGCTTATAGA